CCCCCCGTCAAATGTGGCCCACCCTGTTGTAGGAAACCCCCCCCCATGCCCCCGCTTTGGGAATGGCGGGCGGGGGGAGGCACTGCCCTTAGATTCCCTGCGGGTGTGCCCGGTGGGGTTCCCTGGAGAGGGCCGAAGACCGCAGCCCGGTTCAGCTCCGCGCAGCAAACCTTGGCGGGCGAGGCGGGGGCGGTGTAAACGGAGGGCGGCTTCCGGAGCGCCTGGTCCGCCCCCCCCCCCGGGGGGGCTCTTCTTGGCGTCTCGGAGAAGCAGCAGCGGGGAGCGTGCGGAGACGCTCTGCGGGGGGGCGGGGAGGAGCAGGAGGACCCCTCCAGAGCAAAGGGCTCTTCTCCCCTTGCGGGGCTGGATTCTCCTCCCCCCTCGGAAACCGCTTCGGCAGTGGCGAGGCGGCTCCCGCCATCCTACCGGAGGCGCGGCGCTGGCCGCCGATTGCGCGTGTCCCAGACCCACGCACCACCGCGCTCCCCCTCCCGGAGCTGCTGCGGGGACGGCAGGCAGGCAGGCGCGATCGGTTGGTTTCCAGGCCTGCCGGCCCTCCTTCCACCCGCAAGGGCCGCCCGGGCAGGGATGCGTGAGTCATCTTGGCACGGGGGGGGGGGCGAGGCGGAGGCTGCAGGCGGGTCTAACCTGGGAGGGGGGCAGCTGCACTAAGAGGACCCTCCTCCTCCCCCAGTCCGAGAGCGCCGCGCTTGGCGGGTTGAGCTTTGGCGAGGAGGGCCGGGAGCCGCGTGGCTGTGCGCACACGGACAGGACGGGAAGCCCCGAAGGCTGACCCAGCCCTTTCACGGTGGGGGTTTTTTGGGGGGGCGTTTAAAGGCCTTTGTCGCCTGAAACAGGATGGGAGCGCACCAGAGGGGTGCGCCTATAGTACAGGGGTGTGCCGCCCTCAAGGGCTGTGGCCCCACGCCCTCTCCTCGCGGGCGGGGCACCTCTGCTCGATTCTTTTGCCGCCTGGATTTGCTGGCTTCTTAAATGTGGCTGTGGAGGGGGGGGGCAGAATAGGGGTCGAGCCCTGTTACCCTCTGGGGTCGGGTTGAAGAAGAGCTGCGATCAGGTCTGTCAGGTGCTCCTGTTGCAGACCAACACAGGCTGCCTCCTGGAACTGCCTTCATGTTTAGGGACCGGTGCTGTCCAACGGGCCCACAGATAGTCTGGGATCAAGTCTGTGGAGAAGTAAGATGGCCACGTTTATTTAGGATGGTGAGAACCAAAGTGGCTTCTGAAGAACTCCCAAAGGATCTCTCCAAACTGGGTGAGCGGACGCTGGTCAATGCTCCCTCTAAGCTGTGGAGTCGTGTGAGCAAAAATGCCACTTTGTGAGCTACTGGCATTAAAAGTTGCGAGCAAGCGATTTGGCTACTGCATAAATTAGCTTGCTCTGGAGCCGCCCTTCCTGAGCTAAGGCAAAAATGTGTGAGCCAGAGGCTAAAAAACTGTGAGCTGGCTCACACTAACTCAGCTTAGCGGGAACACTGGTGGTAACAGGTTCAGTGTGCACTGGGTTGAACTGATGCACATGGGAGCGTGGAATCATCACACCTGCAGGTGGAGGCCAAAAGATATCTTGGGGTTGTAGTTGAGAGCTGGATGAAAATGCTGACTCAGCACGGGATGGTCAGCAAAGCAATTTAAGTCAAACAGGCTGCGTTGTGGCGCCCGTGTTAGAATACTACCTACAGTTCTGGTCTTACGCATGCACATCGCAAGTGAAGAGGGTTTGGTAGGCTTAGAAAAGGGCAACCCAGAAAAGAATTGCTCTACAGCAGCTTAGAACGGGCAAAAGGAAGGAAGTGTTTCACACAGCAAATAAGCAGCTGATGCAACTCACTGCCACAGTGGCCACTGGCTCCTATGACTTTAAATTCGAGCAATGGCTATCAGTCTGTGCCGGCTACATGGAAACCCCATGTTCCAGGGCAGTCTACCCTGGCTTCTGCAATAGTGTCCTGTTGTCTGCCCGCCCGCCTTGTGGGCTTCTGGGCAGCCGCTGACGGGAGGATTCTGGACTTGCTCTGGGGAAGCTCCTTCCTCACGCTGGGCTCAGCCTCCGCTGCAGAGCGGGGTTGCCTTTCTCTGCACGCGTCTGATGGCCCTGCCTCACATGTGGGCGTGCACACGTGGATCGTGGCATTTCGGTTCCTTCCAGTTCTTCTCATGTGACTATGTCAGTGGGGATGGTGGTTGGCAGGTGGGCATCTGCTTGGCACAGGGGCTGAGTCTTCATCAGCATCGGTTCTCAGCATGTGCACTGCATCGCACAGCTTGGGAAGAGGAATGGGGGAGGCTTCAGGGAGGAGGACGGCGGAGCAGGGAGGGTTTCTGGCGGTGACAATTGCTCAGGGGGTCTTCCAGAGGGAGAGGAGATCTGTCTTCAGGGTCAAATGCAGTGTTCCCCCTAAACTGAGCTAGTGTGAGCTAGTTCACAGTTTTTTAGCCTCCGGCTCACACATTTTTGTCTTGGCTCAGGAAGGAGGGCTCCAGAGCAAGCTAATTTATGCAGTAGCCAAATCTCTCGCTCAGAACTTTAATGCCGGTAGCTCACAAAGTAGAATTTTTGCTCACAAGACTCCACAGCTTAGAGGGAGCATTGGTCAAATGTTTCCCCTTCCCTGGCACTGGCCCCTTGAAGATAGACTGCTGGTGTACATGCATGTTCAATTGGGCAGTTGTGGCGAAAAGCCCTCAGGGTGGATGCTAGCTTCTGGCTGGCTGGCTGGAGGTGGGGAGGTGATCCTTGCGCGGGTGGTACAACTCAGTAAGATCACTGGTCTCTTGCCCCCAGGCAGTCATTCTTATTTCGTTATTTGTTCAGGGCTCTTACTACCCTGCCTTTTTTCCTTAAGGCGGCTCACATCATTCCCCTGTACTCCCTGTTTTCCTCACAACAGCCCTGTGAGGTAGGTTAGGCTGAGAGTCTGTGGCTGCTCAAGCAACACTTTCATGGCAGAGCGAAGGAACTGAACCTGGCTCGTCCGGATTCTAGTCCGTCACTCTCGGCTCTGCACCACACTGGGTCCCATGTGCATCAGGGCTCCTCAGCGGACCACATGCACGTGCCTGTTGGGGAGCTGGTGGTTTGCATTTTGCAGTTTGCCATGGGTTTCAAAGAGGATCAAGCCGCTCCACAAGGAGTGAGTGCGTCAGGGGCTATAAGGCAGCCCAGCCGACTGGTACCTCAGTGTGCCTAGGCAGTCTGTCTCCGCTAACTGGTTGGTCGGTTCTGGCGGGGCTCTTCTGAGATGTGGGGGCCTGTTGCCACCAGAGGCCTAGTTGGCCCCTGGAGCCCCTCGCCCTGGTGGTGGTCTTTCAGCGCTCCAGGGCCCTGGGCGGCAGGAGGCGTTTCCACTGGAGACGGCAACACCAGGCTCCCTTTGGGCACCGGGCATCTCTTCTGCCACCAGGGTCCCTCTCAAGGCTCCCTCTAAGCTGTGGAGTGTTGTGAGCAAAAATTCTACATTGTGAATTACTGGCATTAAAGTTGTGAGCAAGCGATTTGGCTCCTGCATAAATTGGTTTGCTCTGGAGCCATCTTTCCTGAGCCAAGACAAAAATGTGTGAGCCAGAGGCTAAAAAACTGTGAGCTAGCTCACACTAACTCAGCTTAGAGGAAACACTGGTCCCTCTACGCCTGGAGGGAGGGGGGGAGTGCCGTGTAGTGGGGGCAGGGTGGCGCCTGGACTGGGGAGACCCTGCCTGGGTGGGTGCCCTTGGCCTGGGCCGCCTTGTGGAGAAAACCTTCCTCCGAGGGTGGTGGCTGCAAGGATAAAATGGGAGGGGGGGTTTAGGGGGAGCCACTACTGCTGCCCTGGTCTCCTCGCAGGAAGGGAGGGGTAAAAATGTGCCGCCAGAGAAGCAGGCAGATTCTTCCTCGATGTGGGAGCCAGGGAAGGGATGTCTGGATAGCCCTCCCCTCCTCCCCGCAGCTGTGCTGCTGGCACTGCGTGGGTTAACTCTTGCTCGGATGCTGGCAGGTGCCCGGAGTCCCAGCCTGGGCATCTCCTCCTCCTTCCCCACCTCCTCCTGCACCGCACCTTTAAGTAGGATCTCCTCCTGCTGTGTAGCACAGAAGGCAGGAAGGAGACCTGCCCTCCGGATCACAGAGGGTGGCACAACCCGGCTGCTCCTCCAGGTGGGTCCCTTTGGCATCCGGGCTGGGGTCTCCGGCGAGAGGGTGGCTGCTTCCTCTAGGCAGCCAACGTGCCTGCGCAGCATCTGTAGGGCTCTTGGCCCGTGCCAGCAGGGGTGTGTCCTCGGGTGCTCCGGCCTGACCTCCCCCTTTGCTTCCCCTCCCTGGGGCTTGTGGGTGGGGGCAGAACCAAACAACCCTTCCTTTGCTTTAGGAGGAAAAGGTGCTGATGGCAGCCCCAGCTGGGTGGCAGGAGGACATGCCAGGATGTTCCCCCCCCCCAACCTCCTGAGGCAGTCTTCCCCCTGGCATGTTGCCCTGATCGAGAATTAAATGGGAAACGGCTGTTTCTTCCAGCTGGGGAGGAGGGGCGGGGGAAACACCTTCTTGTCATAGTAGTCAGTGGTGATTTTCTCTTCCTTGGACTGGTGGGAAAGATGCTGGAGCTGGAACGCTTTGGACAGGAGCAGCCAGGTCAGTCTGTGGCAGCAAAAAAAAAGAAGGAAGGCCAGTCCAGGGGAATCTGAAAGGCTGGCAAACGCCTATTTTCGTGTGAGCTTCTGGGAGTCAGTGCCCACTTCGTTGTGGCAGTTTCTTTCTTTACAGCTCCCAAAGAGCTGAGCCCTGTCCCTGGAGCTCACACTGAATGAGGCTTTTGCCAGTCCTTCAGGTGCCCCTGGGCGTCTCTCTTACTTTTTGGTACCAGAGACTAAGGAGCTGCGGAGGCTCAAGTGGTTAAGACGCTGAACTGCAGGCTGTGGAAGGTCAGTAGTTCAGCAGTTCGAGACCCGGGTTGCTGCATGACGGAGTGAGCTCCCGTCTCTAGTTCCAGCTCCTGGCAACCTAGCAGTTCGAAAGCAAGAAATTGCAAGTAGATAAATAGGTATCACTTCGGTGGGAAGGGAACAGCGTTCCGTGCGCCTTGGCGTTTAGTCATGCCGGCCACATGACCACGGAAATGTCTTCGGACAGCGCTGGCTCTTCGGCTTTGAAGCGGAGATGAGCACCGCAACCCTAGAGTCGGATTCGACTGGCTTTCGAGCAAGGGAACCTTGAACTTTACCTTTACCAGAGACTACCAGGGCTGCCCTGCTGAGCTTGTTGAACCGTGCAGATGGAGCTGTGTTTAGTGGACTTGCTGGTCTGATCAGTTTGGGATTCTGTAACTGCCAGGCTGGTGTAGAGACCACACGATTTCTTGCCTGGCAGACAGCACAAGGGGTGCCCTTTCCTCAGGGGTTGGAGCAGCCTCGTAGAGATTTCTGCTGAAAAAGGGTTCATGGTGGGGCAAACAGTTGAGTCCTGATGTGCTGCCAGTGGCCGCTGCTCTGTCCCTGGTGCTCCAAAGATTTCATTAAAAGTTCCTGGGTGTTGACGGCTATCTTCTCAGGTTTTGGTGGGGAGGGGAATTGTATCAGCCTGTCTGGGGACTTGGCACGATGCTAGCACCCTCCAAAGGACCCCAAGTCAGTGGGCTAGTATTCTTCCCAGAGTGGTCCCTGCTCAGCCCTCAGTATCACCAGTTAATAGAATCTCAGACCTTAGATAAAACTTGCTTCTGCCAGTCAGAGGAGACTATGTTCCTGCTCTGAAGTTGGGCAAGGGGACCTTATGAGTCCAGTCTCGTCAGAGATGGGAGACCCCCAAGGCAGTCCAGGGCTGCTGCACAGAGGCAGGCCAGGGCAGACCACCTCTTGTTTGTCTCCTGCCTTGCAAATCCCATGAGGAGTCACCATAAGTTGGCTGTGAGTGGACGGCACTTGACATGCACACACAAGGAGACCTTGAGGGTTTGGTTCCTAGGTGCGTTCGGCTGCCCCCCCTGGGGAAGAAATGGCACATTCCTGTTGTGATTTAGTTCCCTTTCTTGCCCTGGGGCAAGGGTGGCCAAACTGTGGCTCGGGAGCCACATGCGGCTCTTTCACACATATTGTGCGGCTCCCGGCAGGGCAGCTGGGGAAGCAAAGGGGAGGCATGTCTCCCTGACCGGTCTTCCCTTCCCCAGCCAGTGTTCCCCTCCCTGGGTAGGCTTGAGGTGGGGGGGGGAGCAGAGAAAGGAAGCAACTTTAACTTTACATGCATTCTCAAAGCCCCCCCCCCCACCAGCTGGCTTGGAAAAGGCATTTGTCTCTTTAAATTCATTCTCCAAGCCATGCCAGCTGATGTGGCGGCGTGGGACTGGAGAACACATTAAAAGTTAACATTGCTTTCATTCCACCTTTCCCTCTTTCCTCTCTCATCTATTTGCTTTCTTTCCACCTTTCTCTTTTTCTCTTTTTCTCCCTTCCTTCCTCTTTCCTCTCTCATCTATTTGCTTTCTTTCCACCTTTCTCTTTTTCTCTTTTTCTCCCTTTCTTCCTCTCTCATCTATTTGCTTTCTTTATTTCTCTCTTTCTTTCCACCTCTTTCATTCTTTCTTTCCACCTCTCTCTCTCTCTTTCTCTCTTAGACAAATAAATATAATTAGCAAATGAAGAAATATCATTATCAACATCTGCTTTTACCCCTTTTGCATTTTTATTCTTGGCAGTCTCCTTTAATGTTAATAAAAAAGCAAATCTGCATATTTCCTAATAAAGATGTGTGGGTTATATTTGCTCATGTCTTGAGGCTCTCAGATATCTGACGTTTGTTCTATGTGGCTCTTGCGTTAAGGAAGTTTGGCCACCCCTGCCCTGGGGCCACCCGGGAGAGTTGCCGCTTAGCTGGCTTTAGGTCTGGCACCCAGGGCTCCTCCAAGCACAACACCTTCCTTGTGCTCTGGGTCACGCGGTGTCCTGGATCGGCTCCGTAATCAGCCTCCGTAATTCCACTGGCTGGGGCCAGGGTCAAGGTCGCCATCCCTCTGACCTCCTTGCCCTTTCTTCCGCTTCTTCCTGTGTAGCTTCTCGGGAGCCCAGCCTCCTGGCCGAGGCGCTGAGCCCGATGATGGGCGAACGACAAAGCCACGTCAACAGCCTCTTCTTGAACGAGGAGTCCTCCAAGCGCCTTGGGACGGGGGGACGGGGACAGCGCTTCCGCCATGCCTGGGAAAAGCGAGCTGCCCGAGCCCGAAAGCAGATGTACGCCGTCACCAGGGAGAGCGTCAAGATCTTCTTCCAGAGACACCTTTTCGTTCTGCTCACCATCTCCTCTGTTTTGTTGGGTACGGCCTCGTGGGGCTCCGGACTGGGGGGGGGGGCAGGGTCGTGCTTGAAGGGATGTTGTGGATAGATCTGTGGCTGGGAGCCTCTCCCATCCATCATGCAGAGGAAATCCAGCTTTGCCAAGGGAGGCTTTTGTCGGGATGGGTCTGGCTGTAATCACAGCCCCTTGACCTACTTGGTCAGGCTGCTGAGGGGCCGCTCCTCTTTGCAGGCGCTTGCCCGATGCCCTGGCCCTGGCTGGCAGGAGCAGACATTCCAGGCTTGTTTTTCTGGGCCCAGGAGGAGGAGCCGCCATGTGCCGCTTCTCAGCCCTCATAACCTTCTCCTCTCTGCGAGGTTGTCCCTTGTTCCCTTTGGCACTGGGACTCTGGAGAGCTTCCGCCAAGGCAGCAGGTGTCAGAAAAGAACATAAGAGAACATAAGGCCCATCCAGCCCAACACTCTGTATCACACAGTGGCCAGAAATACCAGATGCCATCAGGAGGTCCACCAGTGGGGCCAGGACATTAGAAGCCCTCCCACTGTTGACCCCCCCCCCCCAAGGGGGACTGAGTTTCTGCAGGGAGTGGGCTCCTCTGACTTGCTCCCACCCAGTAGTCCTAGACGTAGCTCGGGCTTCACCTTCCCCATGTTCAAGGTAGCAGACTAGAAATAAGCAATAAGTTACGCACTCTGCACGTGCTTGGGGCACCTTCATCTCTGTTATTGCTTTGTGCGTCCGCTGGCTTGCGGGCTGAATTGGGTGGCCGGGAAGTGTCGATGTGGCACCTCAGACTCCCGTCGTCTTCTCCACTGCGCAGAGCTTTACAGGCTGAAGCGGGCCCCTCCCCTCTGCCCCAGCCCCCACTTGGGGGTTTTTGAGCAGTGCAGCTCCAACCAAAACAAGCGTGTCCAAAGGATTTCTTTCCGTGGCAGTTGCTGGATCTGTTCCTACCGCACTGGCCGGTTGCCTGTCAGACATGCGGCTGCTTGTCGGGCGGATAGCTGACAGTTGACGGGAGTGCTTTATCACTGGCTGGCAGCCCAGCCCTGGAAGTCCTTGAGCGGTGGGTGGGCCGTTCCTCGCCCCAGCACATCCTGTCATGCTGAGGCAAAGGATTCGGGACGGGGAATATCGGGCAGGGGACAGGAGGAGTGAAGCTGGGGTTAACCTGTGGACTGGCTCTCCCCCAAGCGCATGCTCAAGATCTGCCTTGGCCGCCCTAATCCGCCCTGGGAGACTTTGGGATTGCTCAACCCTGTGCACAGTGCGGGAAAAGCTGGCTGCTTGAGAAACGCCACCGGGGATTAAAATGGTCACGGGGTGCCTTGGCTCGGACTTGGATAGAATGCTGATCAAGAACAGACCAGAAAGGCAGCACTTGAGCTGTCCAATTTCAAAACCCCAAAGAAAGAAAGCAGGGAAAGGCCGAGGCCCTGGGAGCTGGGGTGGCTGCTGGATCGGGCTTGGAAACTGTCTGGAGCTCAATGCAGAGAGGGCTGCCGTTGCGCCCTTCCCCATCTGTTCTGCAAAACTTAAACCAAACAAACAAACAAAAAACCCAAATCCCATCTCTCATATGCTTTGTAAGCAGATGTTGTCACTTGAAAACATTTGGTGGGATTTGAGTTTATTGCTCTAGAGAGTTGATGTCCTTTCTGGGGGTGCCTCCTGTTTCCCAAGTGTGGCCCCCATCTGCAGATATCTAAATCTGCGGATCGGGGCCAGACTTGGACTAAACAGATTTTTCTGCAAAATTGGGTGACGGCCCCAAATTTGCAGGAAAAACCTGAAATCTTTAAAAAACCCACAACATTGGGAGATTTAAATCCCCCCCAATAAAACAGCATTCTCTGAGCAAGCACAGAGAATGCTCCTTCCTTCCTTCCTTCCTTCCTTCCTTCCTTCCTTCCTTCCTTCCTTCCTTCCTTCCTTCCTTCCTTCCTTCCTTCCTTCCTTCCTTCCTTCCTTCCTTCCTTCCTTCCTTCCTTCCTTCCTTCCTTCCGTGTGGTGGAGCCCTGGAGCCACAGCAGGCCCGGTGGCAGTGAGGCAGCCTGAGAGCCGTGCTGGGCCCCATGGGGGCCGCAGGGGAGCCGGGGAGCCATCCTGGGCCCATCAAGAAATGGTGGGTGGGTTGGATTCCCTCTCTCGCAAGTCTTGTGGGCCCTCACTTGTCCAGCTCTGATTCTGGCATGCATGCATGCACACCCCATTCCCAAAAGCCGTTTGCCAAGTGATGCTGGGCTCGTGGATAGAGTCAAGTGGGCTTCTTTGGGTCCTGGCCAGTGACACGTTTCCCGGACCATTCAAGCTCTGCGGCTTGAATGGATCCCCCGCCATGAAATAGTCACTCCATCCACCATCCTAACGGACCGAAGGTGGTTCTTCTTCTTCTTCCTCCTCCCCCAGTAGGGTTTCCTGTGCCTAACGAGGAGAGAGCGCCCTGCCCCAAGTCTGTCACAGCCTCTGTTCCCAGTGTGCCCAGAAGCTCAGTGGGGCGGTGCCTTCCTTGCGTGAAGATCGAAGGGGAAAGATCTCGGGTAGCCCAACTGGGATAGGCCCCTCTTTGCATCCAGGATTGAGCCATGACTTGTCAAGTTAAAGGATCTCTGGTGTTGGGGACAGGAGGGGCTCTCTCCAGCTGTGGGTTTGCTGGGAATGGCCTTTCTCTGCCCGAGACCCAGAGAGCTGTGGCCAGATCAGAACCGGGGTAGCCAGGCTGAGGGTCGTACTCTGCTTGCCACACATGAGAGGCAACGGCTTTGCAGGCTGGGCTCGCAAGGGGAGGTGGTTTTGTTGACGCAGAGCTGAAGGAGGGGGGAGATCCTGTCCACCACCACCCGTCACGCCTGACCTGCGGCTTCCCATCCTGCCCTGCAGGGATCACGCTGGCCATGGCCCTGCGGCCCTACAAAATGACCTACCGCCAGGTCAAGTACTTCTCCTTCCCCGGGGAGCTGCTCATGCGGATGCTGCAGATGCTGGTCCTGCCGCTCATCGTGTCCAGCCTCATCACAGGTCAGCTGCTTGTGGGCAGGGCAGGGCGGGGCTGCCATGGGCGGGAGGGACCAACCAGGGCTTGACGGGTATCCTGGCAGCAGGCGGAGGCTGCAGGGTTGTTAGGAGCCTTCTAGTCCAGGGGGCCGTTTACCTCTGCATGGCTTTTGTAAAGGGAAGTCCTGCCTCACTGACGTTTTGGAGTGAACAGGCATGTGGATAAGGGTGATCCAATAGACATGATATCCTTGTACTTGTAGAAGGATTTAGACAAGGTACCAAAGACTCCTGAGTAAGCTTAGCAGTCGTGGGATAAGAGGACGGCTCCTCTTATGGATTAAAAATTGCTTAAATTGGTTAAACGACAGGAAGCAGAGAGTAGGAATCAATGGGCAGCTCCCACAGTGGAGGGGAAGTGAGCAGTGGGGTCCCACAAGGATCGGTATCGGGGACCAGAGCTGTTCAGTCTGTCCAAAAATGATTTGGAATTGGGGTGTTAGCAATGTAATTTGCAGATGATACCAAATGATTCAAGATGGTGAAAACCAAGGCTGGCTGCGAAGAGCTCTTGAAGACTCTCTGAGAGCCACTTTGGTGTAGTGGTGAAGAGCAGTGGACTCTAATCTGGAGAACCAGGTTTGATTCCCCACTCCTCCTCCACATGCAGCCAGCTGGGTGCCATTGGGTCAGTCACAGTTCTCTCAGAGCTGTTCTCTCAAGAGCAGTTTTCTCAGAGCTCTCTCAGCCTCACCTGTCTCACTGGGTGTTTGTTGTGGGAAGGGGAAGGGAAGGAGATTGTAAGCCACTCTGAGTGAAGGTTGGAGTATAAATCTAACTCTTCTTCTTCTTCTGTAAATTGTGCTAGTGGGCAGCAACATGGCAAATGAAGTTCAGCGTTGACAAGTGTTAGGCAGTGCACGTTAGTACAAAAAACCCCTCTAACTTGAAATATATGCAGATGGGCTTTGAACTAGCTGAGACAGAGACTGGAGAGATCTTGGGGGTTGGAGTGGAAAGCTCTATGAGAGTGGTGACTTAGTGGGTGCGTTCAGACGGGGCGTTTCAGCCAGCATAAACTGTACCGGTTGGAACCGGTGCAGTTTATGCCGGCTGAAACGCAATCACACTCACCTCCTGACTGCGGATCCCATTGCAATACGCCCATCCACACACAGTGGGTGTCGGCGGTTTGTTTGGTTTTTTTTACTTGGTTTCCGCATGCGCATAGGCAGCCATCGACAGAATGGCGATCTTCGCGCATGCGCAAAACCCCCCGTCTTACATTTAAACTTTAAAGGTAAGGACTTAGCTTTAATGTTTAAAGAGCAAAGTAGCCTTCCTGAGGTCCCGGACGCCTACGAAACGATAAACTAAGGCCCTTTTCTCTCTTTTTTTAAACAAACGCCAGGGCGAAGCTTCGCTCAAGCGCATATCGCCGACCTTTAAAAAAAATGGTGGGTGAAAATCGGAAGCCTCAGGCTTCCAAACGGAAGTGGCTCTGCAACGTTGAAGAGCGATCAGACGGGGGTAAAGCGATTACAACCGTTGTACTCAGGATACCACCACTTGGGGACCTAGTGGCAGAATACAACGGTGTAAAGCTCTTTGCAACAGTTAGGGACGGAAGGCAGCTGTTCGCCATGTGAACACCGGTAAGTACACCGATTCCAACCGGCACCTATTCCGTTGCAAATCCCCCGTCTGAACGCACCCAGTGTGTAGCAGCAGTGAAAAACTCCATTCTTGGTTTTTTAAAGAAAGCAACTGAAAAATAAAATGGCCAATATTGTATTTCCCTCGTATAAAGTAGCGGTGCAGCCTCATTTGAAATACCGTGTGCCGTTTTTTGGTTGCTGTTTCTCAAAAAGAATATTGTGGGACAGGAAGAAGTCGAAAAGCAGGCAGCCAGGAGGATTAGCGAGTTAGAGCACCTTTCCTAGGAGGACGGGCTGAAAAGTCTCTGGGAGTTCTGGGTCTGCAAAAAAAAAAAAAGAGCTAAAGGGAGACATGACAGGGTTATCAAATTAAAGGGGGGGACCCACAAGGACTTGCATGGGG